TGTTTCTAACTCTCTATCCCTCTCCCTTCCTCTCTGTAAAACATCAATAAAATATATTAAAAAAAAAAAAAGAACCAGTAGGGTTGTAAGTTGAGGGTTACTAATAAACAGACTCTTAGTTGGGCTGACATTCTAAGCAGATAACCAATAACACAGAATTATTTCTGGTGTGTCTAGAAAACCCTTCCTTATCCCTGTCTTAAATTCTACTCTAGAGATTTATTATTTTGATGTAAAGCTTGTCTCCTACCAAAACAACTTGAGATCTTACAAGGTGCTTACATTTTAATAAAAAAGGGGTCTGGACCCAAAAATTACAATGTATGGGTTTTTGGACACCAGCTGGGTATCTTACAATTCAACTCAATCTGACACTATCCACCAGAGTTAGCATCAGATCACAGGTTAAGGGTTCAGTCCTATAAGACAGCTCCCCGCACCCCCAACTTCAATTAATTTCCTAGAGTGGCACACAGAACTCAAACATTTCACTTACTAGATTACCAGTATATTATAAAAGGATATAACTCAGGAACAGCCAGATAAATTGAGGCACAGGGCCAGGTATGAGGAAGGGGCTTGGAGCTTCCATGCCCTCTCTTAGCATGCCAGTCACCCAGCACTTCCATGTGGCTCACCACCACAGAAGCTCCCTGAATTCTCTTTTTTTTGGGTTTCTATGGAGGCTCCATTACATAGGCATGATTCATTAAATCATGGCCATTGGTGACTGAACTCAATTTCCAGCCCCTCTCCCCTCCCGGGAAGTTTGGGGGTAGGACTGAAATTTCCAATCCTCTAATTACATAATTGGTTCCTCTGGCAACCAGCCTTCATCTTTAGGTGTGGGTGCAAAAGTCACCTCATAATAAAAGACACCTTTATCATTCTCATCGCTTAAGAAATTACAGTGTTTTAGGAGCTCTGTGCCAGAAACCAGAATGAAGACCAAATACATATTTATTATAAATCATAATATCACAAGTATAAATGAGTTAATTAGGTCCCTCTAGAAACATGTCTGGATAAGACAGAGATGAAGAGTACAGGAAAGCACTGACACCTAAAAAGATGGCACCAAGTTGGAGAGGTACCATCCAAAGGGAAGGCAAGGATACAACATCTTTCACAATTCCCGAATGCTTCTTTACTAGTAAGTAATCACAGATACTTTAACAGCAGCTTCCCAAAGTCTTAAATTTGTAATTTCAATTAAAGGAACACATTTGCTCATAAAATATTTTCTTGAAGCTTTTCTCATATTATACTTACTCAACATAACGTAACAAACATAATGTCCAGCTTTTTTCCTCTGAAGTGATATAATTATAAAACTCAAGATATACCATGTTAGTATTCTCTCGATTAAAACCTACTCTAGAAATCTGAATCCATATTTTTGATAAAACATTTAGAAGTAAAAGAAATTCAGAGCGTTTCATATAAAACCCATACCTTCTGCAGTCAATTTATCTGTCACTGTCCAAGCAGCAGAATGTGATGAATGTTGTGGCAACAGGGACTAGAACCTAGAGTAGAACACTAAGGAATCTAGGCCTCAGAACTTTGGATGGTTTGATGTTGTATTAATTGGCATTAAAGTGAAAGCAGCATTCATAAAGAGATAGCTACAATGAGAAAATTCCAAGAAAAAAATGTTTGAGATTTACAGCTTCTCTCATTGTGTTGTTGGAAGCCTTTGTACAAAGAGTAAAGAGCTCATGATTATTTTCAGAAAGATTAAAATAATGTAAGGCATTTCCCAAAGTTTGTAAAATAATTCCTAAAGTTTGGTATAATCTGATATACATTATACATTATATACACACTAGAGGCCCAACGCATGAAAATTTGTGCAAGAGTAGGCCTTCCTTCCCCTGGCTGCTGGCATCGGCTTCCCTCTGGCACCCGGGACCCCAGCTTCCCTCCTCCTGCCACCGGCAGGCACCTGGGGCCGGGTGGCTTCCCTCTGGCCCGGGCTTCGTCCGGAAGGACGTCTGGTCTAATTAGCATATTTCCCTTTTATTATTATAGATTATAATTATAAATGTAAATGGCATGAATTAAAAATGTATTCCCAGTTTTCCCTCATACTATTTGTTGAAAATAAGTAAGTCATAACAAATTTAGACATGTCTTCCTACCTGAAGATCTGAAGAGCTTGAACTATTTTGGTTGCAGTCATTCTGCATAACGGGAAATGAATATTTCTCCTCATCTGATGACATTCTGTAAAAATACTATAAAACAGTAAACGTTAACTTTAGTTTTTCCCCCTTCAATATTTAAACTAAAATAGAATTCCTTATATAGAGATGGAGCACCATCCAAAACAATAATTGTGATATTTTAAAATCATTCCACATATTAGAGCAACCATAGACAAAATCATTGGACAATAAAAAATAGTTAAAGACTCAATTCCCCAAATCAGTGAGTTTATAAAGTAGCAAAGGAGATGAAACAAATACATGAAAGGTTAAAGAGAAATGGAGGCTCCTCAGAAACGTCCGCACAGTAGAGGGTTGAGAATAATGGATTGTGATCTCTGTTCTTAACAATGTGTGACAACCTAGATGTTGTGCACTTTCTCTGAAGATGCTGAACCAAGGAGAATGAACAATTTGTGCAAATTCCCTGCTTGGGAAACTTACCTTTGGGAAGTATTATTTTAAGAAAAGTAAGTCTATAAAAAACAACAGATTCTAATACGCACATAGAAAAATTGTTGAAAGTCTTAATAAAAAAAATAAAAAATAAAAGTACTTTTAGTAACTAGTAAGTAAATTATTTAAAAGACAAGTAGTGAATATTCAAACTATCTGAATACTAGTAACATGTAAGACATTGGCGAGGAAGTAAGATGAGTCCTCAAGGACTTATAATCTATAGGGAGGGGCCAGATAGGTATATAAGTGACTGATGAAAAAAGTGCTGATAGACCCTAAACAAAAGAGGTGCAAATAAAGGAGGCAGGAGTAGCCATTTTTCATGGGGTGAGATCCTGAGGGTGTGAAGAAGTAAGAATGGAACCAGAGAAAATTTTAATAGAGAAAATGACCCCAGTGTTGCGATCTGAAAGACAGATAAAAGTTATCAGGGTATACTAGGCAGTAAAGTTGCATAAGCAAAGACACAGAGGCATGGACAGGTATGCTAAGAACATAAGTATAGTAGTTAAGGCTGTAAGCAAAGGGTGTAAAGCAAGACTTGGCTGAGAGCAGCCAGATCACAAAAGATCATGATTATGTCATGTTAAAAAGTTTGGTCTTTATTTTAGAGAAGTTATTAAAATGTTTTAAACAAGTGATGACCAGATCATGCTTGTCTTTTAGAATGATCACTCTGGCAACTTTCAAGATGAATTAGAGAGTTGGGGTCCTGAAGAAAGAGAGATCAACTGAGAGCCGAATGCAGTAGTCCAAGAAGTAAGTGTTCCCTCTGGCAGTAATCCAGGAGATAAATGAGAGCCCGAATCTAGGAGTTAGCAATGGGAAGTAGATGGAGGGTATGACTATGAGACAGTTGTGTTATGGCAATGAAAATGAGAGACCATGGTTAATAATTGGTTCAGGGATTAAAGGGAGGAACTGTTAATGACTTCCAGGAGTCTGACTTGAGTAACTAGAAAAATGATAGTGCCACTCACCAAGGCAAGAAATGTAGGGAGATGAGCAGGTTGGGAGGAAGAACACTAGGTTCAACATCAGATGTTTTGGGTGTGCAGTACCTGTGAGGCACTGAGATGAAGCTGCAGGTACGTAGCATATGGCCACCCTGTATGCTGTGCACCAGCCAAGGACTGCCACTTACAGTGGTTGCAACGTGAATGGTGCTTCCTGGAGTTAAACAATGTGGGAGCCCTGCTTTGGAGCTTTAGGTTGAAGGTACAGTTTGAGGAATCATCAGCATAATAGGAAATGCTGAAGAACGAGAGGGTAAGATCACCGATGAAAAGGAGCAATAGAAAAATTTCTTACTCCGAAGTCCATATACCCAAATTGTATGCACTATTTTTAGTATAAATGCACATGTGTGTATTTTCTAGGAAGAGGATCCTTAGCTTCCAATATGTGTTCAGAGGAAACTACAACCCTAATAAAGTGAAGGGCCACTACCATAGTGAGACAAAGGTTAAAACCACGACCACTAACATGTAAAGGGGGGCGAGAAAAGCCAACAACGAAGACTACAAAGATCAATAAAACTATCAGAAAGAACAGCATCACAAAAGCTTAGAGAAGGAAGTCAGAGTCACATACCAAAGAAAGATGAGAACTGGACAGAATCCCTTGAATTTGGCAGTCAGGAAGTTGCTATGACATTTCCCTGAACAATTCCAGTGGAAAGTAGAACAGGTCTCAAACACAATGGGCTGAAAAGTGAGTGAGATGAGGAAATTGAAGCAGAAAGGGCGGATCCAGGGAAACCGCAATATTAGAAGAAACATGGATTGGGGCTAGATTGTGGAAAGGATAGCTCAACTTTATTCAGTGGCTGTTCCTGAATATACACACGATAAGTGAACTAAATCTCTGCCTGCCTGTCTTTCGCTAAGCCACTTAGGAAGGATAAAATAAGCACATACATCTCAGCAAGGAATGGCTGCTCCACAGGACGTCAAACCCACCCCTGTGGTAACGTGGTCCATCTCTGTTTCCATCCACTTCTTCCTTTAGGATGTGCTTGCTGGTCAGTTAAGTATAGGAGTGGGGGTGGGGTGGGGCTGATTATTTAAAAAAACAAATGAACTGCACAGTATGGTCGGACTTATAGGAGTTTTTGAATAGCGACACTGCAGACACGAAACAACTACTGTACTTTCGGAAAATACGTGCTCAATCTTCCACCTGCCCTGCTGTGATGCCAACAAGGTATGGCCGTTTATGTGAAACTCTGCAACCGTAGCAGTACTTCTCCTAGGTTCAGAAACAAAGGAGGAAAATGAAGCTTGCTTTCACGGTGGCGGATGTACATCGGTTCACTAAATTTTCAGTGTTTTCTAACCCAAAACGTCAGAAACCAGGGATAAAAGGTTCCGAGGGCTTCTTTATGGCCAGGTAAACCAAAGTACGTCGTGGTAATCACCTGGCTGATGGGGAAAGAGGGCTCCTTCCGGGAACTCAAAAGTAAGCCCTCAGAGGCAGAGGAGGGGTGACAGGTGCAAGCCGGCGGCAGGGTGCGCCCCGCGCCCCTCGGGGACCCGGTCACCTGCAGGCAAGGTCAGGGCGCGCGGGCCGCTCCCACGCCGAGGGCTCGCAGCAGACGGGAAAGCAGTTGCGAGTCGGCGAAGGGCTAGTTCTTTCCGATCACTTTCCTACCCACCCCCGTTTTAATCACATTCTTACTTAAAAACAAGGAAGCGTTTGGCATGGTTATTTCCCCCCCTTAACGTTTTAAATGGCCAGAACCTATGGGACAGTAACCGCTATATTTGAGGCATCCCTCCTCCTGCCCTCTCTTCGCCACGACTCGGAGAGGAAAACCTCGCGACCTTGCCGCCCCGCCGAACAGCAGAAAGGCCGGGTCTAGGGGGCGATGCTCCCAGCCCGGAGCCCGGGGCCCGGGGGCGGAAATCTGGGCCAAAGCACTTTAAAGCCCACTCCGCTGCCTCCGCCAGGGGCTCGGGGTCGCCCAGGGCGCCGCTACCCACCGTCGCAGCTCTCCAGGAACTCCGACCCCTCCGTCCGCGTCCGCCCGCCGCTCCCTGCTAAAGCCACAGCCAGGACCGGGGCTACCTTAGCAGCAGCCTGACAGTTTCAAACTGCAGGGAGGAATTAAGGACGGCCCTGGGCATTGGCCCCGACCTTCAGCAACCTGACGTGTGATTGGTCAGCCAGCCGGGGGCGGGGTCTTAGACCGCGGCAGGGAGAAACCGGAGTTCAGTTACTAAGGAAAGCCCCGCCCTCTGGTCCTGAGGGGGCGGGGTCTTAAGGAGCCCTGCGGAGCGTCTGGGAGCGCATGCTCAGTTCCGTCCTGCGACTGCCGCCCGCAAGCCGCTTCTGAAACGGGATTTGGGCTGCTGAGCAGGGCCGAAGTCAGCCAGGGCGGAATGCTGTTGTCTTTCGATAATACCCAACCTATGCGTGTGGTCCTCATGCATAAAAGTCATCTGCGTCTACAGGTGCCCTGCAGCAGGATCACTTGGAGGTGCTTTTTAAAAAAATACACATTCCTGAACCCTCTCTCTGAATTCCTTGGGTGTTGAGCAGGGCCAGGGAATCTGAATATTTAACTGTGTTCTGGACACTGTACTCAACTCATTTAATTCTCAGATTATCTCCGTGATAGAGATGCTTTTTCCATCCTCATTTTACAGATATGAAAACAGAAACCCAAAGAGGTGACTTGCCCATGATCACATGGCTAATAAGAGCAGAACTGGTATTCAAATTAAGGTAGACTGGGAGTCCATGCTCCTATCAGTAAGTCTGTTGGGAACAGTGTGACTGTTACGGATTAAATAGTGTCCTCAGAAAAAAAGATGTTCAAGTCCTAATCTCTAGTACCTGTGAATGTGACCATTCTTGGAAGTGGGGTCATTACAAAATGCAATCAAGTTAAATTAGATCATGCTGGATTGAGGTGAACCTAAATTCAATAACTAATGTCCTTATAGAAGGAAATTTAGACAGAGAGAGAGAGAGATACAGGAGAGAAGATGGAGGCAGAGATTGAGTGATGCATCTGTAAACTAAGAAACATAGATGATTACCAGCAACCACTAGCAGCTAGAAGGAAAGATCTGCTAGCGCTTTCAGAGGGAGCACAGCCCTGCCGACACATTGATTTTGGCTTCTGGCCTCCAGAACTGAGAATACATTTCCGTTGTTTAAGCCACCCAGTTTGTGGAAATTTGTTATGGCATCCCTAGAAAACAAATACAGTGGCCCAGACATTGAGATAAGAAAGTGCTTATTGTATCTGGGGAATGCATAAAAGCCAGAAAGTAGTCTTAGTAAGGGGGAGAGTGGCACAGGATGAGGCTACAGATGGAGGTGGGGACCTGACTGTTAAGGATTTGAGATTTCATTTAAAGCTCAATTAGATGTTTTTAGATGTTCCAGAAAGAGATGAAAACAACTTGAACTAAAGGGATGACCAGGGTATATTTCACTTCCATACAATCACATTGCCTGATTAGGCAGCTATTCACCCAGCTTCATTTTTTTTTTTTTTACTATAGAAGGGAATACATTTTTAGTGATGGATAGATGATATATATTTAAGTGTCTATTTATGTATCCATCCATCCATCCATCAAAAGACCATGGTAGATTATTTTTGGCAAGTGGCTCACAATGCATGTCTCCAAACAAATCTTTTGTAGCTGGACTACACAGTGTATTTAAAATCCTTTCATACAATGAGAGCCAAAAGGATAGATTCATTGAATATGTTTTTTAAATGTTTATTTATTGATTTTAGAGAGAGAGACATCAATTTCTTGTTCCACTTATTTATGCATTCATTGCTTGATTCTTATATGTGCCCTGACTGAGGATGGAACCTGCAACCTTGGTCTATTGGGACAATGCTCTAACCCAGGGGTCCTCAAACTACGGCCCGCGGGCCACATGCAAATACAAATATTGTATTTGTTCCCGTTTTGTTTTTTTTATTTCAAAATAAGATATGTGCAGTGTGCATAGGAATTTGTTCATAGTTTTTTTTAAAACTATAGTCCGGCCCTCCAACGGTCTGAGGGACAGTGAACTGGCCCCCTGTTTAAAAAGTTTGAGGACCCCTGCTCTAACCAGCTGAGCTACCCTGCCAGAGCTCATTGAACACATTTAATTGAGTCAGAGGATATCCTCTCCAGAGGAAGAAAGACTGTCAATAAGCAAAGACACAGGTTGTTGGCAGGAATCATGGCTTGCAGTGGTCTGCAGGTGAGGCAGTGTAGCAGTGCTGTGCAGGGGTGGGTATTTGTAGAGGAGTAAGAGCTTGTACAGAATATTTTGATTTCCTGGATTCCACAGTTGCATTTTGCTACACAGCACTTCCTGGCTCTTTTATTGCAGAAGGGAGTTTATTTCTTAGCTCTCATCATCCGCCTTCTGTTCTTCCTAATCATAAAGACTCATTCTTGAACCTCTCTGTTACCATCCTCTAGCCATATGAAAAAAGCTTCTTATCCTTAGAATTTCCTTTTCCTGATCAAACAATCTGGGACTAGCTGTGAGGCAGGATTAATTAGTTTTACAGAGAACAATATTACAGAGTCCCACTGATGTTTGAGTGCTATACAGATGCTGTATTCATGGGTCTTTAGGGCTTCTGAGGGTGGGTTTTCAGATCAGTGTAATTCAGCTCAGAGAGAAAGGAAAGATCTTACATTTTAGAGTGCTTAACCCAAAATGTATAGGAGTACTCGTTATGTACTAAGCAATGTGCTAGGCCATTTCACATATATTTTGCTACTAGTCATTACAAAATTCTGCATAATGAAATGATGGGACCAGAAATACATTCACAGTAAAAATTTAATTTGATAATATGCAAAATTGTGATGTAATATTAACCATTATTATATATTACAATACTCTATTGCATATTTATCTCTAAAGTTTAAGATTTAATTTTTATAATGACTTTTGCTCTTTAGAATTTTTATTAAGAGAAAAGCAAATACATAAACCCCAGATTAATTAAATGCCATGTATATTCTACAAACTTTCAGAAGAAAAATGAGATTTTGAAATCGTCAAGTGTCATATTTATCTATTGATATATAACATACATAATCCAAATACTACATAAAGTAATCTCTATCATATAACTTAAAAAATATATAGATTTTGTTAATATGAAAAAAGTTAAAAGTTCTTTTTAAAATTTATGGGTTTTTAGAATTTTATATTTAAAAAGCATTTTATGTTGGGATTTATTCAATTTATATGAATCATTATTTTCCCAAAATGAGTGGGTATGTATTTGAAGACCATTGTATTGAAAACACAAGTCATTGATTTATATCTACATATGACCCTGAACACTTACAAAATTTATGAAACACCCCAGAATTCTAAGAAAAACATATGCCAAGTGCATACTCATCTATAAAATAAAAATTTAAATTCAAGATTGCAAAATAACATGATAGCCCTGTCTAAACTCTAATTCAAATAACTGAAACAACAGTTGAAGATATTGACATCTACAGTATAAAAGCATCAATTTTACCATGAGAATGAGGGAATGAAGTTGATTTCTATGAATCAACACCCAAGCATCTTTAGAAAAAAACACACAACTTTATTATTTTTTTTTAAATATATTTTATTGATTTTTTACAGAGAGGAAGGGAGAGAGATAGAGTCAGAAACATCGATGAGAGAGAAACATCGATCAGCTGCCTCCTGCACACCCCCCACCGGGGATGTGCCTGCAACCAAGGTACATGCCCCTAAAATAAAAATTTAAATTCAAGATTGCAAAATAACATGATAGCCCTGTCTAAACTCTAATTCAAATAACTGAAACAACAGTTGAAGATATTGACATCTACAGTATAAAAGCATCAATTTTACCATGAGAATGAGGGAATGAAGTTAATTTCTGGATTTCTATGAATCAATACCCAAGCATCTTTAGAAAAAAAAACACAACTTTAAAAGTGAACAGCTATCACCTTACTGGTATGGCTCAGTGGTTGAATGTCAACCTGGGAACCAAGAGGAGGTCAAGGTTAGATTCCTGATTGAGGCACATGCCTGGGTTTGGGGCTCAAGCCCCAGTGAGGGCATGCAGGAGGCAGCCGGTCAATGATTCTCTCTCATCTTTGATGTTTCTATCTCTCACTCCCTCTCCCTTCCTCTCTGAAATCAATAAAAACATATTTTAAAAAACTGAACAGCTATTAATTAATTGTGGTCAGTGAAGATATAATTGTATTAACATAATATAAATATATTACCTAAATTAT